GACTTGAAAGTTGTTTCAGTCCACATGAAGAACTCCTCAAAGGCTAACTATACCCAAAAGAGCTTTGTGGGCAGTGGTGGGGTATTAATACACTGGGCAACTTCTTTCTCTCTCTGAGATACTCCAATGGAAGGCTTCTCACACCTGGATTCCCAACTTGTTCATTCTACTTATAGGAAATCTATCACTGTTTCCATGCATACACTGTGTTCTTTAAGCTCCCTCCACGTGTGTCACTGCATTACACTGAGATCTCGCAAGACATTGACCCTGCATTCCCGTCTTCTGGAGACAGGGCATACCTAAGTCTAAAACCTTTCTCTAAAAATTCTGGAAAGAGTGGGGGATGGAAAAAAAACACAGCATCCTACACATTAGGCCCGCCCCTCCCCTACCTTCCCGAAGCGTCGGACACTTCGGCTAGCCCCTCCCCAAGTGTTGGACACTTCGGCTCGCCCCTCCCCAAGCGTCGGACACTTCGGACCTCCCCTCCTGAAGCATTGGGCACTTCGGCCCGCCCCCTCCCCTCCTTAAGTCTGTCGGACACAGCAGCACTAGCGCAGGTGAAGAGCAGGATGAGATGGCAGATAGTTACTGCTGGTAAGTGGTAACTTACCAAACTTAAGGTACCCAAACACTGCACGATTCTCGTACGAGAATCGGGGGAAATTCCGCGATCGTACGAGAATCGTGCAGTGTGATTGAAGGCGTGCGACCCTTTCTACTGTAGAGTCGCACGTCTTTTGTCTAAGGAGCATGCTAGAAAACCAGCCGAGAATCTTACGATTTTCGTCTGGTTTGAATGATGCTCGGGAGACAAATGCCAAACGGGCCATGTGCGCACGCGCACACTGCCCGTTCAGCATTGCAGTCATCAGCAGCCCGCCCCTCAGGGGGGCCGGCTTACGATGAACGCAAGTACAATCTGCCTGTCCAAGATGGGCAGATCGTGCATTTTTTTAATTACTTTACAACCATCGCAAGACTAAGGTCTTGCGATGGTTGTAAAGTGTATGGCCACCTTTAGGATAATCCAGGCAGGCAGAAAAGCAATAAGAGGTGTGGGGAGACAGGTGAGATGGTCTGAGCTGCACACAGAAGGCAGGAGTGAGATGGTCTGACGAACTGTACACAGAAAAATGGGGTGAGAGGCCCAAAGAGGAAGGGAGTGATGTGGTTTGGGGATCTGTACACAGAAAGAGGTGAGAGGCTGCAGGAGTCGCTCAGAGAGCGAACAGGTGGGGTTGGGTTTGTTACTGAGGTGTACTGGACATGACCTGTGTGTGCTGGAGGGTCAATCTTACTGGTCATGCATGCAATTCAGATACATTCACCACTTGTGAAAAAATTCCCCCTGCCCCAAAAAAAGAAACTGCAATCCAGCTTTATATTACTTCATTATACTACTAGGATAAGACTTGTATGCATCCAGTCCACAGACATTTATTCATCAGGAAGATACATATAGGAGTCCCAGTAAGCATTTGAATGTATTTCATTTTTTTTTTAAACGCTTTTTTTCTCGTTGGTAGATCTCTTTGAGCTCGTCATTTGAAAAGTAGAAAATTGTGGGCACCCCTGATCCGACCCATTTAATTCTAGATATGATAAATATTAAAATCTACTCCAATTCCTCCTTTATCTTGCTTCATAACAGATATTTTCAGCGACCATTATGTAGATGTAAACTCAGATATTTAGTGGAGGTTTTTATTAATCTCCCAGTAGAAGCTGGCCCAGTAGAAGTTCACAATGCTGGACAGATTCAACAGAAATCATTAGGCCTCCTGGCCCAACTACACAGGTAATTAAACTTTTGGCTAGTGGACAGTTTTATAGGCTGTAGGGAATTTGACATTTGTAGTCTGATGGCTACATTAAAGCAGCAACAGCATTAACCCTCTACATAGGAACCCAGATCACCTTTAATTTAAAGGGAATTGTATTATTTGTAATGTACTTGTTTTTTTTTAGATGAGATAGACCAGGCTAATGGTACATTTTGGAAACCTTGTTTCCATGTACAGTTTGCAATTATACATAAACAAATCTGACTTCCCATTGTACATTACATATGCAGGCTCTGCTTTTTGCTTAGCAATGCTGTACAGTGCTATACCATGCTGATCCTCAGTGCAAGTCTTCCAGAGCAGGTCTGTCACACTGAAAGCAATAAACTCTCTGCAGTCCCAAAGGTTGTAAAACACCCACAATGCTTTTGCTAGGCATACACTATGTGATCTTTTAACAAGTCTTTAGATTACAGGATTAGTAGTTTTTTTTTCCATTCATGGCAAGCAAGAGGAACTTGTACACAAACTAATAATGTCATTCAGTAATGCTTCCTTATTAACTTTAGTATTACCCTTAAGGACAAGGGTAAATCCTAGTCTCTATGTATAGTTCGCAATAATCTCTGTACATGTGGAAGCCATATTCTATCATTCATCATATACAGGCTCCAGTGCTAGGTTGTGCCTGGCTGATATTTTTAGCTCACTGTAATCCTGCCAAGCTGACATTGCCTCTCTGCAGCTTCTACTGGTGGGAAACCATAAAACTCCCCTCAGTAGCCAGATCATTTCCTAGGCTTTGCGTTACATAAAGAAGTTTGAAAAGAGCATTCATTTTCATACTCATAGCAAGAAAGAAGTACTTTTATAATCTCAATAACCTCATTTGGTAATGTTGACATGTGCCCTACAAATTCTTAGGGATTTTGCTCTGCGTTTTAGTGCTCCTTTTAGACCTCTTTCTAATACCTGGCATTTACAGTCCCTCTGTCCATTAAATATCAGGCAGTAAAAAAAAAAAAAAAGAATGCAACGGCCACCATCAGCTGTAGTTAATTGGAACACACAAATTACTTCAAAACAGATGTCTAGAACACCTTTAATAGTCCAGACTTCTCTGTAGTCCGAATAGATTAAAACAATCTAATGCTTTTAAAGGGGCAGTAAAAAAACAAAAAGGTGTAATTTTATATAAAATAACTATGACTCCCACTATTTACATTGAAACTGGCCACAAATAACCTCAGTGCAATGCTAGAAAACAACTTTAGTTTCCATATTAAAAAAAAAAAGGTTTAGGCTCCATATAAATAGACAATGTGCCCCAAACTCAATGCTCAATCATGCAAAAGATTATACCAAAAGCAGTAATCATAACAGGTGTCCCGAAATGGAATTTGCAGACTAAAAC